AACCAAAATGAAAATTCTCAGTATGCAGATTGAGATTGTTTCAACTTATGTTGAAGATATTCCTTCCATACCTTCCTCCATAACTGTGAGTTAGATATATAAAATTCTGAGATTTGGTATGTCTCATATCTGTCTCCCTGGTTACCAAAGCTGAAGGAATTCTTCACTATTCCTTTTCCTTCATTTTGCTACATTTAAACTGTTTGCTACCAAATTAAAAAATAAGTTTGGGAAATTCTAGCTTGCTGATTAAAGATAATATTTCAGGAATACATACATTTTGATTGAAAATTGTTCAGTGACTTTTACTCATTCTTTCATATCCCAGACCTTGTTTCTCACCTCCTCTCCATTAACCTAAAAAGTGTAAGCTATCTACTACTTGTTCCTGCAGGCACTTTTTTTCCAGAACAATGCTTTTCTGTTGCTAACAGAGATCCAAAAGTATCCTGCTGCAGTTTCTTAGTAGAAAGTGCTTTTGTAGGTTTACCAATCTTATGTGTACTATCACCAGTGGGACTAAGAAAATGCCTCAAATTTACATCACTGATTTCTATTTCAGTAAGAAAGAGATATTTGATTTGATTTTGCAGGGGCTGATATGATATTTGTGCATATAGACTCTCTTAAACTCTGATATTCCCCTCACTGAGATTGGAGGAAGTGATAAGGTTTTTGTGGCTGTTGCTTTACCTGAAATGTTTCTGCAAGACAGCAAATATGAAGTATCATTACATCATATTTACATTTGTCTTCGCCACAGGAAATGAAAATATTGTTTAGTAGAGTAAATATGTAAAAATTTAGATCAAATTTTCCAGGTCAGTCTGAAATGCTAGTGCTTGTACAACATGAAGCACAAAGAGGACTCTACCCCCTGAGACTTTCTATTTATAGAATTACTCAGTAAGAATATTTCTAGCAGAAAAAAATTGTGCAAGTATCTAATGATGGGAAGACTCAGAAATCTGAGCATTCCTTCATGCTTTTTTTTCCTCATCAGAGAAGTTGAATGGAGTTAGGAGGTGAGAGAATAAAATGTTTGCTCCAATAGGACATTTTAAATTGTCTTTAGTGTTAATTTTTGAAGCAGTAGCTCTAATTAAGATAAAGTACCTGTCTTAATGGAACAATGAAGAGAGCTCAGTATGTGATTAGACTTGGCGCGAGTGATTAATGATCGTACTTGGAAATTACTTTAGTTCCTGCAATGTTTTGATAATCTGCTCTAGTTTAAGTTCTGTAACTCAAGACGGTGATAATGATGAAGTTCACACAAGGTATTTATGCACAGGATCAGGCTTACCAACACGATGTACTTTTGGGACAGAAGGCCCTTTTTGGTCTACATTCTGTCCAGTTCTTGCAGGGAAGTATGATAAAAAGTGATTTTTGTCCCTGTGTTCTTCAGGTTTTGGAAAGAAAGTAGTTTGCTAATAGTAGATAGCTGTTACTGTTACTTTTTCAACAGTGAAGGCTTCTCCTGTTTCCAAAAAGCAGCTATTTTTAGCAGTTCCGCAGGCAATTGCAGGCAATTCCCATGCTTAGCTCCTCTAGTTTACTTTTATTAGGATAAATAAAGACTTCTGGTTTTATCCTTCTGTAAGTCTGTCTGAATAAACAGAGTGAGTGTGCTAGTGTACACGTGTGGTACACAAGCGCATGTAAATACAATACTGCTCCAAGAGAAATACCACACACAAAAAGACTTTAAAAAGTTGACTTTCTGATTCTACATTGAGAAGAAAGAGATACCAAGTTCTAATCTGCATTTAGAGATTAGACAAAAGAATGTAAAAAATATGATCTACCAAAATTATATTGAAAGAACCTGACAATAACCACTTCAGTGATTCCTCTTCCCTGAATAGTTTATGTGAGTTTTGTTATTTGTCTAGGTAGTAAGTGATGGCATGGGGTTTGGGGTTTTTTCCCCTGTTGTTTATTACATAAGATGCAATCACAGTTTCTTTAGATTGCTCTGGGGATTATATTCTCATTTAAAACAAAACAAAAAACCCCAAACAACAACAACAACAACAAAACCAACAACAAAACCAAACCAAAACAAACAAAACCGAACAAACCCCCTCCCCCCGAAAGCAGTGTGTTCAAGATGGCTTAGTTTACAACTTAAACAGAGCTGCAGTTGCACGCACCTTGTACCCAAAATTTAAGGATAAGAAAACTGACTTGAGTGCAGTCAGACTCTGCCTCAAAGCCCAAAAATTTGCAAGGTAAGCAATATGATACGAGCCTGCCTAGCTGGGAATACCCTGGGAAATACATGTATGTGTAACTGTAGGCATTCAAAACAGCCAAGAACCCTCGCTGAAAAGCAAATAATGGAAATGGCTGAAAATTCAAAGCTCCAAGTTTGCAAAATCCTCCTCTGGATTGATATTAAGCCTTTCCTGTGGAGTTTAATACAACCTTGAAGCAATTTGATACATGATTTCTAAACACAAGGTATGCACTCAATATTTTGGGTGACATAGGTTCAGCTCAATCTTTTTGTTCCATTTTTGTAAAGTTATTACCACAGTGGGATGTCTGGCCGTGAACCCAGCACCCAGTACTTTGCTGATCTGGAAGGGGCTGCCAGCTTGGGAAACTCAGACAGGGAAACTCAACAACAGTAGGGAATTCACAAAGAAAAAATGCTCAAGCATGAAAGCTCATATGAGATTACAATATCATGTAAAGAGGTCCCAAATCAGTGTCAGCAGAAGGAAAAAAAAGTAATTCATTGTTCAGGTCCTGTTACGTTAAATGTTTTATCCTGTGTGTGTTTAATAGAATCCCTTGTAAACACAAAGCGCAAGGGATGTTATGATCATGTTAGGAACAGTTTGCTTTTAAGAAAACTGACAACAACCTATCCAAAACCGATGGTGGTATCCAGGGGTGGTGGCATTCGCCAGGGTCTTCCGGACAAAAATTGTAAAGCCGAGGGACGGCTTTGGGTATTTCCTGCTCTGAAACACCAGGGGCAGCATTGGCTGCGGATTGAGCGAGCGGGACTCGCAGCGCGGCCCCGCAGCCAGCTGCCTCTCACCCCGAAAAAGAGAGATCAAACCACAGACCGAGCGAGATGCTGTTTGGCAAAAAGTGAATCTTAAACTTCTCAAGTTAATATGAAAAAAAAAAAAAATCTTTGTTTGGAAGGCTCAGTAATTGAGTTCTACAAAATCTTTAAGAGAGAGAACTCATCCAGCTGCCTTGGTAGCTTCCGGAGCAGCACCACGGATTTCATATTCCCACAGCCACTTTGAAAATCCCAGCCAAACTGTCATTTAAAATACCCCTGTTTATTCTCCATGAGATTGGTTTGTTACTGTTGCACATGTGTTCTGTGACTGACCCTCCTAAACACAGCAATAACATTGAGCTGTAAAGAACAAATAAAAGCCTAAGTGAGGCCTGAAGCAAAGGTAACATTGTCTATTATTTTACAAACATTATAATTTCATTTTCCAGCTGTGCCAACCCATTGTTTTCAACAGATGCAAGTAACTGCTATGTATCAAATAATAACCCACTCTTCCTCATTTGTTCAAGGTTAAACAAACAAACAAAAAAAATCTCTTTTTCCTGTTAGCAATAATGCCTTCCTCTGAAGGCAGCACATCCCTAAGACCGCTACCCCAGACCTCGTCCCTCAGCAAAGACTCAAAGCCTTTGCAGAGGCAAACATGAGTCTGAACATGCTGGAGGCTCAGGATCTCACTGAGCCAGATCCTGGAAACCCACATGTTGCAGCAAACCTTCATGCAACAAACCTTCATGTTTGTTGCATGAAGGTTTGTTGCAACATGAAGGAGATGGGGGTCATGAAAGCAGGGGCTTTCATATTTCCCATATGTCCAATGCTGTGTATCTTTTATAGTTTGGGAAATTCTCTAGGAATGTGTCATTTCATCATTAGCATTCAAAGTATTTATTTGCATGACCTTAGAAGGCAATAAAACCACCTGAGAGGGTTATCGTCAACTCATCCTCAGCTTAATGCTCTCGGGTATGCTGTGATGAAATTGTGCATTTTTCTGATTGGACCCATTGCAGAACTGAATGAGAAGATGCACCCATGTACCAAAGGCTGTACCTTAGTACAAAAAGACCTTAGAGGATTTCCATCAGGGATGTGTGTCTGCGTGCTTGGGGGGCCATTTTTATTCCCAGAGGGATTTGGGAATTTGGCTAATGCAGCCACTGTAGTACAACAGCATATTGCTTTAATAAAGGCGGCCAGCTCCCAGCTATTTCTGCATCCTCCTTCACAGCTCACCTACAGCAACACGCAGAACCTGACGGCTGCCAGTTGCAGCAAGGCCAGTTCCACGGGCCAGATCTCGCAGTCTAAAATTGCCCTGCTCTAAATAGAGGAGCCGGGCGAGAGAAGCACCAAAGCTGCGGCTTTCCCGGGGAGGAACCACAGTGCCGGCGCTACGTGACTTGCCCCGGACACCCAAGAAGCTCCTGTCAGCGCGCGGAGCTCCCACATCCCGAGCCTGACCTCGTGTCGCGCGCTCGTCCCGTGCACGCGAGCGCCCTAGAAGGCACTGCTTGTTTTTCTACCGTCCGTTCCAGAGAAATCCAGCTGGTAGAGGAGCGCAGCGCCGTGATTTATTTGAGAACTCACTCCCTCGTACTCGCCTGAAGGTCTCGCCGCCGGGAGAAGAGGGAGAGCGCGGGAGGCTGCGCTTCTCGGCGGCCGCTCCGCTCCGCTGCGCGCCCGGCTCGGCACTCAGGGACAGAGCGAGGAGGGGAGCGGGGATTTCCTCGGCTTCCTCCCATGCACATACCTCCCGGGGAGCGGCGGCGGCGGCGGCAGCCCGACTCCCCTCGGCGGCCGCTGGGAGGCTCCGCTCCTCGCCCCGGCCTCCCGGGCGCCGCGTCCCCGGCCGCGCTCTCCCTCCGCCGGTGACACCCGCCCCCCGCCCCCGCAGCGCCCCGCTCCGCTCCGCTCCGCGCCGCGCCGCACCGCACCGAGGGGCCGCGGGCAGCGCCGGCACCGGCAGCGCCGGCAGCCCACCGGCACCCACCCGCCCGCCGAGCTGGGCATGGAATATACAAAAACACAAAGGAAAAGTGGCCGCTGGACTGTTCTGTGGGCAAAATGCTGGAAGTTTGTAAGTGCAACTCTCCGTTTATAATTACTGTCTGAAGAGGGGCTGGGTGGTTTTTTTTCTCCCCCCTCTTCCCCTTTCCTCCTCCCCTCCCTCCTCCGTGCTTTTCTTGAAACTGTACTTGAAACTATTCAATATCTGGGAGTATAAGGGAGAGTACGCGAGAGGAGCTCTTTGCCTGGGTCCGTAGCTTTCGGCTTAATACTAAGAGGGGAAATGAGCACTGAAAGCAATACGGATTTACCCAGTGGCTGGATTAAGTGAAGGCGAAGCGTGGTCTGGAAGTCCACTGACTGACATTGTTCCGGACCGGGGGGATCCGTCTCTCTGATTTTCAGAGGAACTACAGTGTAGCGGCAGCCAGCCGGACACAGTCACACGCCGGAGAGTGGCCAGCAACGAGCGGGCGAGAGAAACGAGAAAGCACAAAGACTAAACTAACCCGAGCCGCCTCCTCCTCCTCCTCCTTCCCCGGCTCTTTATTTGCACATTTAC